CACACATCATTTCCTATAGACAGTGCTGTGATTAAGACTATCAGCCGGGTTAATAAAATCTCATATGCAGTTTTATCTCAACCTTTTGCACTGTACCTGCTCTTTACCTACCCTGTTACACCTCTGTACTTACCCTGTACCTACACCTGTTACTGCCAATCTAAGCAGTATTAAAATGAGTACTTTATGTGCTTCAGTCAGTTGAATGCATTGTTTAAAGCCCTGTGTATGTAGAATCAAGAGCCTTGCCTCAAATGATAAAATAGGTTACGTTGTATTGTTATAGCTCAAGGACTTTGTATGTGAGAACTGCATTAAAAAGTGTTAAAGTAAAATACCTCTGATGAGGGCATTAACACTGAGTACTTAAGCCATGTTAACAGTAAGCAGCTTGAGTTGTGAATGTTTCAGAAGTCTTTTATTAACATGAATTAAAAAGTGTATGCTGTCTTTAGAAAACCTCACCACTAATTGCAAATCAACGATCAGTGCATCACATGTGAAAAATGTTAAAAAGCAGCATAAACTGAATACAAATACCTGCTTATTACATAGTGCATTATGGGCAGGGAGTCTGTGGTGGTGTCACTGTGAAGCCATGGGAAAAAACAGATTAGGGCCACTGCCAAATGGTGGGGGGGGCTGATCATTTGGGATTTGTAGCATCCTGTCACAACCTAAAGGAAACAAATAAGACAAGATATAATATTAATAACACATAGTATATCTTGTAAGCAATTTGTAAACTATACTCAGAGGTGGGTACAGTAGCCTCGATCCATACTCAAGTAAAAGCGCATTTTTCAAAAACAACTTTAGTTAAAGCCCAAAAGTCTAAAAAAAATAAGCATCACATTTACCCATGTAATTCTAATCTTTACCAAGTTATAGATGTCCCTGTACACCACGTAAACCATTGTAAACCATGTCTCAGGGTCTCTTTCTTAGTGGAATTTAATGTGCTATTTATATTGGGCCTCCTAAATAAAAGCTATTTCTACTATTCTCAAAGACTTGCATGTGATGGAAGACTGAAATGTGTTAACATCATCTGCTTTTTTTTTGTTTTGTTTGCTTAATGTTGTCAAGTACTTATGTCTGTAAATCATTTTTATTATCTAATTATAATTATCTTTATATTTATTTTTATATGGATTTTCTTTGTTGTAAATTTATACACAGGAGTACAACAATCCCAGGCAATCTTAAGTTTGCTTACTTCACTGACTTGAACTGCAGTGCAACAACTTAGTACATCCAGCGTCTATTAGCAAAGTAAGTTATGTTTGTTAGGTGATGTTCTTCTCTTTTAGATGCCCTCTTGGTCTAAAATAAAACGCTAAATGTCAAAGGTGTGACCAATTGCAGAGCAAAGCAAATGCTTTCACCAACATTACATACTGAAATGAATAATTAAAAAGGTATTAATATCCAAATTTATAATGAATTTATGATAAAATGTGTAAAAGTAGATTACAAATACATGAGTCAATATAAAAATAGCATTATTTCAGAATACTCAGTAAGGTTCATTAAAATTATACTTAAGTATTTGTAACCAAGTAAACAGAACTAAATACCACCCACCTCTGACTAGACTTCTGTTTCTATTTCCACATTTATCTTATGTTTATGTTAATGGCTCTGGCAACTATGTAACATGCTAATAAAGCACTGCTGAGAAAAAAATAATCGCTATGTCACCTTAGGGGCTCCATATGAGGGAGAGAGAGAGAGACAGAGAAAGAGAAAGAGAGATAGAGAGAAATAGAGAGAGAGAGAGAGAATGGAGCCTTTAAGGTGACACTATGATTATTTTTTTTAAAAGGCATGGCCAAAATTAATATATTGGAGCCACAAAGTACTATACTGAAGCCATAAATTAGTATATTGAGAACACAAATTAATATACTAAGGCCATGAATTAGTACATTGAGGTGACAAGTTACTATATTGAAGTCACTGATTACTATCTTGAGGCCATGAATTAATATATTAAGGACAGAGTTAAATTTGTGAACTTAGGGGCTCCTTAAGAGGGAGAGAGAGAGAGAGAGAGAGAGAGAGAGAGAGAGAGAGAGAGAGAGAGAGAGAACTAAATACCACCCACCTCCGACTAGACTTCTATTTCTATTTCCAGACTTATGTTTATGTTAATGGATCTGGCAACAATGTAACATGCCAATAAAGCACTGCTGAGAACTGTATTGAGTATAGAGAGAGAGAGAGGAAGAGAGAGAGAGAGAGAGTACAAAGTCCCTAAGGTGACACAGTGACTATTTTTTAATTACACTGAAGCCACAAATTAATATATTGAGACCATGATTTAGTATACTGAGGTCACAAATTAGTATACTGAGAACACAAATTAATATACTGAGGCCACGAATTTGTAGATTGAGGTGACAACTTACTACATTGAGGACACTATTTTACTATATTGAGGCTATGAATTAATATATTAAGGCCAGAGTTAAGTTTCTCTTAAATCATGGCCTCAATATATTAATCCATGGCCATGCCTAATTAAAAAATTTATCACTATATCACCTTAGGGGCTCCATATGAGAGACAGAGAGAGTCAGAGAGAGAGAGAGAGAGAGAGAGAGACAGAGTATGGAGCCTTTAAGGTGACACTGTGATTATTTTTTAATAAGGCATGGCCAGAATTAATATATTGAAGCCACAAATTAATATACTGAGGCCACAAATTACTATAATGAGGCCTCAAATTAGTATACTGAAGCCACAAAGTACTATACTGAGGCCATAAATTAGTATATTGAGAACACAAATTAATATACTCAGGCCATGACTTAGTACATTGAGGTGACAAGTTACTATATTGAAGCCACTAATTACTATCTTGAGGCCATGAATATATATATATATATATAAGGACAGAGTTAAGTTTATCTTAATTCGTGGCCTCAATATATTAATTCGCTGCCTTGCCTTATTAAGGAAATAATCAATTCAATTCAATTCAATAAGCTTTATTGGCATGACCATATTCAGTTACAGTTTTGCCAAAGCATCATCAAAAAGGAACAAGAAAAATGAACTCTTAATTTAATTTGATGTAAAAATAATTATGAGAGAATCACATAAAAGAACAGTAAAATAGTCATTTGGAATTAAGTTGTAAAGAAAATTAAGAGGAAAAGAAAATAAATAAATAAATAATAGAAATTTAAATAGATACATAAAGATTACAAACAGGGCAGTTTTGGATATTGTGTGTGTGTGTCTGTGTTTCTGTGTGTGTGTGTGTGTGTGTTTGGGTGGGTCACTCACTGTCCCTCATATTGTGGCAGGCTGATATGTATTGTGCTGCTAAGGCGCTGCTCTCTCTCCTCTCGCCTAGCAGGATGGGCAGCTTCTCATTATTACTGAGGCGGCTAAATTGGGGGTGAATCTTTTCAAGTTTAGTAAAATAAATGTTCTGTAGAGTATTATATTCGCTACATTCAGTGAGGAAGTGCAGCTCTGTGGCTACAGTGTTACTGTCGTACTGCTGGCAGAGTCTCTGCTCTTTAGGCAGCCAGGATCTCTTGTAGCGGCCGGTCTGCACGGCCAGGCTGTGCTCACTGAGTCTGTACTTTGTCAGTGTGGTTCTGCGTTTAGTGTCAGTCACTGTGTTCAGGTAATCCTCTACAGTGTACTGACATTTTAGGGCCAGATAGCACTGCATTGTGCTCTGTGTGTGTGTCTGTGTTTTCCAATGGGTGAGGTAGTTTTGTTTTTGGAGTGTTATAATTTGGTTTGGTCTGATTGTGTGTATTACAGGCTGGTCCTGCTGGGTAACAGTGTTAGTGTGTGTTAGTGAACTCAGTGTCAGGACCAGCTGTGTGAAAGGACTCTTCTTTTTGCTCAGCTCTTGGCATTGCAGGGCTTTGTAGTGATAAGAATGGGGGTCACTGTGTTTTAGATGTAGCCAATATTTAATGGTTCTTTTTCTGAATTTTGAGCAGCAGTGGAAATTGGCCTAATTCAGCTCTGCAGGCGTTGTTTGTTGTTCTCCTTTGAACTTGCAGTATGTTTTTGCAAAATTCGGGTGTGCAGGATTTCTACTGGGTGTTTGTCCCAGTGGTCAAAATTTAGATTTGAGAGTGGCCCCCATACCTCACTGCCATATAGGAGAATCGGTTCTATAACTGATTGGAATAATTTAAGCCAGATTTGAATTGGTATTTGAAAGTGAATTTGTCGTTTGATTGCGTAAAAAGCCCTCCGCGCTTTCTCTCTCAGCTCATTGAGTGCTGGATTGAAGTTTCCAGTTGAACTGATCTTCAATCCTAAATAACTGAACTCTTTACAGTTTTCTAATCTGTGTGTCCCTAGTGTGAAGCTGGATGTGTTTCCCTGAGATCTGGATCTGTTTTGGAAAATGATTGTTTTGGTCTTTTTCAGGTTTACTGCCAGGGCCCAGGTCTGGCAGTACTGCTCCAGCAGGTCCAGGTTCTGCTGTAGGCCCTGCTCTGTGGGGGACAGCAGAACCAGGTCATCTGCGTAGAGCAGGAACTTGATTTCAGAGTCGTGCAGAGTGAGACCAGGTGCTGCAGAGCGCTCTAAAGCTGTGGCCAATTCATTAATATAAATGTTGAATAGAGTTGGGCTTAAGCAGCAGCCTTGTCTCACTCCGCGCTCCTGAGAGAAGAAAGCCGTCCTTTTGGTGCCAATCTTTACACCGCATTTGTTATTTGTGTGCATAGATTTAATGATGTCATATGTTTTACCCCCTACACCACTTTCAAGAACTTTATAAAATAGTCCGTTGTGCCAAATAGTATCAAAAGCTTTTTTGAAATCAATGAAACACGCGAAAATTTAATCACTATGTGATTAGATATTATATAAATAATTATATAAAATAATCACTATGTCAACTTAGGGGCTCCGTATGAGAGAGACAGAGAGAGAGAGAGAGAGAGAGAGAGAGAGAGAGAGAAAGGGAGCGAGGGAGAGAGAGAGAGAGAGAGGGAGGGAGGGAGGGAGAGAAAGAGAAAAACAGGGCGAGGGAGAGAGAGAGAGCGAGTGAGAGGAGGGCGGAGGAATAATAATCTCTGCAAATCAAAACACGATCCGTTAAAAAAAGTTTTTCTGGCTCTTGGAAGGAGGAAAAATCCACACATGGAGCAGGAGAAACACAGGACAGACTTTAGTGGAGTTTTTCTCTGGAGGAGTGAGTAAGCGAAGCCTTTCCTCTCACTAACTGGACTGGGCTTGCTCACCGGGTGTAATGGAGCACGTCGTGTTGACGGTGAACTGAGAATGGCAAGACTTTCCCGACTTTCCTGCAGTGCATTGGCCGGTCGTGCAGAGCCAGTGACTTATTAACCTCCTCAGTCGGGCTTTATTTTTCCGTGCTGCTCCAAGCATGACCGACAACTGGATATGTGTCGCTCGCTTGGGCTAAACTTTTACATGTAAGTTACAGAAGGTAATCGCGCTTACCTGTGGGAGATAAACTCAATGCGAGGACACTGGGACTGGAACAGCAAGGACGAGAAGAGCGTGTTTGCGTTACATGTGGTGTAGATATATGTAGTGTTAAAGTTTGAGAAATAATGCACAAGTTGAATTCGAGCGACGGTCACACAGGTGAGCGGGACTTGGAGGTTCAGCAGCGGCTGGCGGAGAGCAGCCTGACCGGTGAGGGGATGCAGGAGAACGGAAAGCACACCCTCGGCCAGTCGCAGTCTGCGGACAGAGCCCCCTGCTCTCAGCGCAAGATGCTGGTCGGCTTAGACATCCTGTGCCTTTTCGTTGGTAAGAGCAGCTTTTAAAATGTCACTTGTACCACAGAAAAATGAGCCAGAAAATCACAAGAGAGAGTGAGCAAATTTTAACCTGACAATAACGTAAACGTTAAAGTTAGCCTGTTGTTTATTAGCAGCGTGACGGATTTAGCCGATATAGCAGTGAAGCGTATTACTTAGCGTTCATGACATTTTGACAGTTCTTGACAAACCAGATTCGTGGGGAATGAGTCGTTTTCCGTTTATCAGGACTAGCAGAACGTCGAGGGGTTACAACACCAGGGAATAATCCGTTTTAAGACCCTAAATAAGAGGTTTTTATGAGGAAAAATAAGTTCGTTGCTGTTCACTCGCTGTGCGCGTGGGTTCTTAAGGGCTGTTGTCGCGGGAATTCTTGCGTGTCCATGGCAACAGCGATTCTGAGAGGAAAAAAAAGAAAACAAGGCAGAAGTTGGGGAGCACGAAGCTCCTGTCACTGACTAGATGCCAAACTTGTTAGCCACCCTAAGTCGTCGCGCAGGCTTCTTAGGATCTTATATAAGCTGATAAGATTCGGTGGAAACTCTGTTAGGAGTTCTATCCCTCCCCTTTTTCACTTTTGTCGACAAAAGTCTGAAAAGAGGAAAACAAAATGGAGAACATTCATGAATCTGGGCAATCAGTAACTGCTAGTACTTAAAGGGCCAATGTAATGGAATGAAAATCCTCACTTAAAAAAAAAAGAATTAGATGTGGAACGTGAACACTGTTAAAGTTTTAAAACATACCGTAGCCACTTCCCAGTCAGTCCAGTCTATATGTATAAATTAGGCTGCAAAAACAGCCCGGTTTGAATTGAGTGTTTTTGTGATGTCACAAAAACCAGCACATTCATATATGTATATATATGCCTATTCAGTGTACAGAACTATAGCCCCGCCCACTCACATTGAAGTTATAAGGAGTGTTTTCACTCAGACCTCTTTCTGAATGAGAAAACAACACAGGGCAACCATTCGGAACAGAGATTATTTACAAGGCAGTAACAAAAAGAGGCTGTTTTTCAATCTAAGGGATGATGAGAGGTTTGAAAATGTTCACTTCTAAATGAATGATATGTGTTTTTGGCACATAAACCCACATTACTGTCCAAAGTGGTCCTCAAGGAAAAACTACAACACAAAACATGTAGGGCCTTTTGACAGAACAGTCATTGGACTTTCGCTAATAAATTGACTGATTGTTGGGCAGGTTTGTGGAGCCCAATCCAACCTGTCCAGGCAGACCAACAGGTCTGTATAATATGACTTTCTACAGTTCCCTTGGTTCAACAGCACTGATAGGGAGATATGATAAGTTTGTTGTACTCCTTGGCCTGTGGTTACACCGCTTCTCTTTGTGTGCACACTTTCTTGTTTATGACCTCCAAGCCTCAGCAGTTCTGAGAGGAAGTAGCGCTGCTGAGAGTTCTCCGGCGAGACTTACAAATTCCCAGGCTCTTCATCTGAGCAGTGCATGTTTTTTTCAGGGCAGCCCCATATTGCTCTCCAGGGTATAGGTCAGCAGATCTCTGACTCACTCGGTACTGATGTTTGTGACTGGGTCTCATGGTGAACTCTGTAGTTTCAAATATGCTCAGAATGATGAAGCAGTATTTCATTGCGCAGGCGTATGCGTGTGGACGGGTGTGAGTTTCATCCTTTTTCCATTAAGAGAATTGGAAAATTTGTTGTGGTCTGGTGACTGATGAGGTCAGGAAGGAAGAGGGTCAGACAGTGTATGCCACTGGGGCAAGTGTCACACAAATTTTCACTTTTTTGCAGAACCAGCAGGACGTTATTGTGGCTTTGGACACCTGGGCTACTGGTCACATCAGACTCCAGCTTTGACCTACAGCAGGGGTGCCCAGCAGAGCATGATATGGAAAAAATACTTGCAATTGAATTGCCACATATTGCAACAGTGATACTTTTTGCAATATATTAATAATCTGTTGATGAATCAGTCATGTGATTTGGTTGAAGACCTGAAGTATTTCAAAAAAGCAAAATGTTTACTTTTGTTGGATTATATGTATTATATTCAGCAAAACACCCACAGAAACACTCATCTGGAACTGTGATTGGTCAGGATGATCACAGCAGAGAGTAAAAACACTGTGATTGGTCATACCTTTGCATGTGGCAGCCTTCTGTAATATCAGTATTGCAAATGGCAATATAGTGATAACCATTAACAAACAATATACTGTGTGGCCCTAGTTTAGTTACAGCCCTGACCTACCATACTTGATGCAGCTAATCATGATCTTTAGGATCATTTAAATATTTGAACCAAGATTAGCTTTGGAGCTAAGCTCCATAGAGCTGTAAATTTCTAGGGATGCACCGTTATGACATATATCGCTGATTCCAATACATAAACATTGTAAAATCTAGAAATTGAGACTAGATCTAAAATTTATAGTATCAGATGTACTACTAATCTACAATATAGAGGACTCGGATAAGCTGGCAAAGTTTTAGCAGACGAATAACATATTCTTCCCTTTTCCAGCTGAAAATTTGCATGACAACAGTATGCCCTGAAATCAAAACGGCCTGTACAGTAGCTGGTTCCGGTTCATTTGTTTTCTTGGTGTTTTGCACAGCTTGTGAATGGCGTATTCATGCCGTCGCATTCCGATCCACTTTTAATAAGTCCCCAGAGCTAGAGCAAGCGAGGCTTTGAGAGCCGATCTGTCTCAGAAATGCCTGCTGTGTGTAAATGAATGCCTCCACAGGCTGCAGGAGAACAACACAGAACAACAAGGTGGATTGTTCGGGAGGCCATCGGACATACCGAGAAGATCGCTCACTGGCGCAGGCTCCCGCTTTCTGGCTGGACAGGCTGTGTATGTGTGCGTTTGTGTGGTTGGGGACATTGTGCTTTGCTTTGTTGTGGTTTGTAAGGAGCCCCTGAGAGACATGCCTGTCCAGCAGACAAGCCTGAATCAGGCCTGGTCAGAGGCGACAGAGTAGTTGGCCTGTGCAGCGTGTATCTGCATGTTTGCATGTGGTGGGAGCACACTGAAGTGCTTACCGTTCCGACTACCTGCTCTCTTGCATCTTAATGGCCTGATGTCAACTAAAATCAGAATCACACACATTGGAATAGATATGTCTCTGTGATCCTGACACATGCATGCATGTTTTGAAGAAATGGTTTGTAGAAAAAATCTAATTTACAGTTTTCAACGTACCTCAGATATAGCCAATCAGCAAAGACATCTTAGGTGTCCAGATTTTGCTTCTTTAGCTGGAACTATGAGGCCAATGTTGCTAACAAACACTAACAGTCAAGTTGCACTCAAACCTTTTTTTGTAAATACCCAAAAGGTCTCTCAGCCGACTCAAACCACATCATTGTCTTCATTAAGGTCGCACACACTTATGCAAATCATTTTGGACACAGTATGACTGCAAAATTGTCCAAAACGTTACTGTGTAGTTGAACGCTGGGATCAACAGGTGGTGTGCCGAATTCTGACTTGCCAACAGAATCTGAGTCAGGCATATGGACTCTACAGATTACATCTGCAGTCTCTGTTGTTTCCATTTATAAATAACTGTTAATCCTATATCTCAAACTGAAGATATATGGTCATAGATAGAAACAACAGAAATTGGGGAGAGTAATCTAATGTCCATATACTTGCGTGACATGAGTGCACAGGAACGAGGATTAGGATTCTGCTGGAAAGTCGTGCCCTAACCCCCATGTCTGGGTGACTTTAATGAAGTATTGAATGCAGTTTGAGTAGGTTGAGAGAAGTTTTGGGGATGTATTTATGAAAAAGATTTGGGTGACTATTGACTTGTAGTGTTACCAACATTATTCTTATAACTCCAGCACGAAACTAAAGAGGCAAATTTTGGACACCAAACATGTCTTAGCTGAACCAATTCGAACCAAGATGAAAATAGCTCAAACCAAAACAGTAACTACTATAAACCTATGCAGTCCTGTATGTAGATATGAATGTAAGCAATGGAGTGTTTTAGCGTAAGCTAGGTAGGATTAGTATGTGCGGCAGATTAGATCCTGCACCCAGCACTGCACTCATATGATTTTGCCTTAAGTCCATTTTGACTTCCTATTTTCATAATGATGAGCAAATGAAGAAGTTACTTGGCTTAAATGTGCCAATATGCGTGGTAGATTCATGGCCTTGTGGGCAGGTGATCAGCCAGAGGAAGTAGCTGAAGTCTCAGGAAGTGAGTGAGACATCAAAGGGTCAGTTATAGACAATACACCAACATGAGTAAGTGAGTGAGCGAGGGAAGGAAGGGGAGAGCGACTGAGTAAGGGAAGGAGGGAGGGAGCGAGAGAATAAAGGAGGCCAGGAAGTACAGTAAGCCAGTAGGGATGGGCAGTATGGTGTTGTTATTCTGATAAATAATGTCACAATACATTTTTCTGAGTGTGTATCGTGGGTGCTGTCAGTACTTATTGAACACTAAACAAATGCATATATCATAAGAAAGAGATCCTGCAAATATGGAAGAAAGATGAATTGTTTTTATATCAAAATTGCAACTTGAGAAAGCACAGTTTTCAAATTTTAAGAGCTGCAGATTTATTTATAGTCTTCATTTAAGTATATTTTTAAGTGGTGAATTTTTGTCTAATAACACAGAGCTTGTGAACTGCCTGTAGATGAGTTAGACTGATTAGAAGCAACTAAACAGCCTCATAATGCATACATGACAACACAACCAGCACTTGCGCTTGAAGCTAGAAAAATGGGGTATGCCAGTTTTATTGGACAAAAAAAACAGGCCTGGATCTTAATTTATAGAAAATAATCACAATTTAAATCACAGTACAGAAACTGCATTAGCTGCACGGCAAGTAGCTGATTGGATGTCATCCTGTCACGCCATTATTTTACTGTATTTAATTATTATATTATTTTTTATTATTAGATTTTTCCTTTTGTTTCTTCTTAAGTCGTTTATTTTTACAAGCATTTTTGCAAGCCTCTTTCTG